TCTGATCACTAAAAATATCAATTTCTAGAATAAATTTATGTTATTATAATTGCTGCAGTAATCCATTTTCTTCATCTGAATGACCATTATAATCATTCTTACATGATTTTTCTCATTTAAGCTAATTATAATTATTTCTTTCCAGTTTTCAAAATACTATAAACAATCAACATATGAAATATTAAGGAAAGTTACATAAAAAAGACTGAGTAGGGATTCATATACTTAGCTACTAGCATGCTAGTGCAAATTTTCTCTTGTGAAAAGATAAAGTTGGCAGCTTCTGTAGATATTTCTCAAGAGGGCAACTAAAGGAAATGTTGTAATCCTTCCTACATGTAGTTTATCATTAAGCCAAAATGGCAGGTGTTATTGCAAAAGAAGAGACAAATTCATACATAAAATAGATAGCAGACTGCTTTTAAAGTCTAGCACAATTCATGGGAAACAAGTGTTTCTTTGAATGAACTGATAACTAGAAAGTTACTATGAAAAAGTGTTACATGACAAATAATACAAAATATGTATACTGTGTTATCTTAAAATTGGAAACTATAGACATACTACTATCATGTTAGCAGTTAATTCTTTTGAATTCTAGGTAATTGGTAATATAATATTTTTCATTTACCTTCTTTTAATTCCAAATAATTTGAAATAAGTATAAAGCACAGTTTAAAAAATAAACTTGCAAAATAAACTAGGACTTGAACCTAAGGGGAAAGGAAAAGTTTAGAAGATTTGTTATAAGCAATTATAAAAACTCAAACTTAATGGTTTCATGTTAGAACTGACTCAAAATTAATCCTCCAGTGAGTTTTCAGAGACACTAAATTCTATGGGGAAAGATTGTCCATCTTTCTCCTTTGAAGCTTCTGATGAGTTCGAACCACTAGAGAGTTGCCAATTTTTACTTAGTGCAAATCCCTATGAACTATGTCACCAAAATTCCTTATAATAAGCAACAAGGAGGTGTGATAGGTCAAAGACCTCCATTTCCCAGGCAAAGAATACCAGAAGAATATCTATGTGTGTGAAATTGACATGATAGATGAAAGTGGGAATCATGACAAATTATGGCTAACACTGAGAAGAGTGGGAATCCCAGAATATTTAATGATTTTCATGTGAAACCTACACCAAGAAGCTGTTGTGCAAACAGAACAAAGAAACACCCTGTCGTTAAAAATTAAGAAAGATGTCCATCATGGTTGTATTCTTTCACCCTACCAATTTCATCTGTATGCTGAACAAATTATTTGAAAAGCTGATAAATAAGAATGTAGCATCAGGACTGAATGAAGATTCATCAATAATCTTCTGTACACAGATGATAAAAGCTTGCTCATTGAAGGTGAGGAGGACTTGCAGCACATGATACATAAGATCAAATACTTCAGCCTTCAATAGAGATTGCATGTCAACATCAAGGAAACAAAATTTCTCACCTCTGGACCAATAGGCAACATCATAATAGATAGAGAAAAGATTGCAACTTTAAATTACTTCATACTATTTGCATATACACTCCATACACTTGATGATACCAGAAGTCAGATCAGGAGGCAAATTGCACTGAGAAAGTCTACAGTCAAGGACCTCTTCAAATTATTAAAGAGCAATGATGTTAGTTAGCCCAGGTGGCCTAGTGGAAAGAATCTGTGCTGTAATACCAAAGGCACGTGGTTTAAATCTGCCAGTAGCTCTATAAGGGAAGGATGGGCAATCTCCTCCCAAGGGATTACAGCCTCTGAAAACCTAGTGAAGGGTCAACTATGAGTCAGTTACAATATTACGGTACACGACAGACAAAACAAACAAAAATATGTTAGTTTGAAGACTAAGATGCATCTGACTTAGGCCATGGTCTTTTCAATCACTTGCTATGCTCCTAATACCTGGACAATGAATAAAGATGACAGTAAAAAAAAAAAAATTGACACCTTTATGTTGTGATGTAGGAGAAGAGTACTGAATATCCCATGGACTGTCAAAAGAATAAAAAGATATATCATTTTTTTGGTCTTTTTATTATTATTATTATTAATTTTAATGAAAATTTACAGAGACTTTGGATTTCCATTCATTAATTGTTCACTCTTCTCTTTGAAAAGTAAAAGAAAAATTCTTTCATTGTTTTACAATCCCTCCCCCCAGGTCCACTCCACTATGCAGCCTTCATTCTGGACTCCTATCATGACAATAATACCTAATCACATATCCCTTTTAAACAGTTCTCTCCCTCATCTGTTTCAATGCAGTATACATTATCTATCCCATCTTTCTCAGTCTCTCTCCAAGCTCAATGTCAGTCCTGTTTAACAACAGTGGCAGTATTCAGTATTTGCCCTTTTGTGACTGAGATATTTCGCTCAGCATAATGTCCTCTAGGGTCACCTATTTTGAATAATATTGCATGAATTCCTTGTTTTTCAATGCAGTGTAGTATTCCATTGTGTGATTATACCACAGCTTCTTTATCCATTCATTTGTTGATGTGCACTTAGGTTGTTTCCAACTCTTTGGTATTGTGAACAAGCTGCAATAAACACGTGTGTGCATATATTTGCTTGGTGGCAGTTATGGTCTCTTGGGTTATATTCCCAGTAGTGGAATTGCTGGGTCAAATGGTATCTCTATTTGCAACTTTTTGAGAAAGTGCCACTCTGCATTCCACAGTGGTTGCACCATTTTACACTTTCACCAACAGTGAATAAGGGTTCCAGTCTCTCCACAACTTCACCAGCATTTGATGGTAGCTGTTCTGTTGAATTTTGCTATTATTACTGTGGTGAGGTGATATCTCATAGTTGCTTATAAAGAGATATATTGTACAGAAGTTTAATCCAGAATTATCTTTGAGGCAAGGATGATGGAACTTCATCTCACATACTTTGGGCTTGTTGCTAGGAAAGTCTTGGAAAGGTGGGGTGACAGTGAAGGTGAGGAAGACCCTCTACCAGGTGGATTGACATAGTGACTGTAGCAGTGGACTGGAGTGTATTAAAGATTGAGAGGCTGTCACAGGATAGTTAAGAGTTCAGATCTGTTGATCATACAGTTGCTATGAGTTGTAATTGACTAGATGACTCATAAAAACAATAAGTCATTGAAGAGAAAATTAACTTTCTGCTTTATTTATTGTAGTAATATTCACAGTAGCTGCTAATCTTATTTATCATATGGATTATTGACTTTACAGAAATATCTGCTTTGCTCTTTGTAACTTATCATTTTTAACAAGCTTCACTACTTTTTAACCTTTATCATCACATATTAACAATTTTAGTAAAACATCTGACTAAAATATGTGTTTATTGCTGTTTATTTGTATGGAATTTAATCATGTAAGGTAACCCTTAGCTACTGAATTGATTAATAAATCTGAGGCTTCTAAACTTGAAATTCAGAGTTGGCTTTTAAATCTTCCATCATATTCCAGGACACATTAGTTATAATAACTGTCTTAAGTATTGTTATGAATTTGTCAAGACAGTGGGAGAAAGTGAAAACAACAAAAATAAGAATATTAACTTTCCTTGCTGAAACTGAGGAGGACCTGAAGTGTTTTTTGGAGAAGGTCAAGGGCTATTGTCTTCAATATGGATTGAAGCTCAATATCAAAAAGACAAAGATTCTCCCACTGGGCCAATTGGAAACACCATGATAGATGGAGAAGAGATTGAGGTTGGTAACAATTATAGCTTGCTCAGCTCCACAATCAACAGTCTTAACAATAGCCAGGAACTCAAAAGACAAATTGCACTGGGAAAATCTGCTGTAGGGACCTCTCCAATAAAGTCAGTATAGAGACTAAGGTGCACCTATTCCAGGTCATGGTCTTTGAAATCACTTGCAATATGCCAGAGAGTTAGCAATGACTAAGGATGGCAGAAGAATAGATGCCTTTGAATTATGGTGCTAGGGGAGAGTCTTGAACATACCATGGACTGCCAAGTCAACAAAGAGGTCTGTTTTGGAAAGGGTGAAACCAAGTTCTCCTTAGAGGCTAGGATTTTGAAGCTGCATCTCACATACTTTGGACATGTGGCCAGAAAATATTAGTCCTTGGAGAGGATATCATGCTTGTAAGAGTGCAGGGGCAGCTCAGAAGAGGAAGACCATGGATGAGATGGATTGATATGATAACTGGGACAATGAAGATTGGTGTGTCAGAAATAGACTGACTTAGGACAGGGCAGGGTTGAAAGTTGCTGTACATAGGGTCACTATGGGCTACAGGCAACTAGATGGCACATAACAACAACAATATTGGATGCCATCAGTAACATGATGATTTATAACAACCCTGATTTGTTGTTCTATGCTATCGAGTCTCCTGCAGCTCATAGCAACCCTGTGTACAACAGCTCTGAACCCTGCCCTATCCTGAGCCAGTATCAGTGACTCCAACACACCTATTCCTATTATTTTGTCAATACATCTCATCCATGGTCTTCCTCTTCTACACTGTCCCTTCACCTTTCCAAAGATGATATTCTTCTCAAAGAGAGGTCCCTCTGGCCACGGGCCCAAAGTATGTGAGATGGATCTTCAAAAGCTTTGCATTCAAAGAGAAACTTGGTTTCATCCTCTCCAAGACAGACCTATTTGTTTTCTGGGCAGTCCATGGTATGTTCAATAATAACAACCCTATGAACAATAAATCTGAAACTTGCCTTATCCTGTGCCATCCTCTTAATTTCTAAAATACTCAAACCCATTGTTAAATTGTGGCAGTCCAACTTTATTAAGATGTTCCTCTCTTTCTTTGATTCTTCACCTTTCCCAGGAAGATTTCTACTCCTTATTATTATTTCTTATTTCTTAAATTCAGTTTGCTTGGCTCCACTGTCAACACTCTTGGCACCAGTAGCCAGGAAATTAAAAGACATATTGTGATGGGAAAGTCTGCTGTTAGGGACCTTTCTACCGAAGAGCAATGGTGTCTCTCTGGAGACTAAGATGCATCTGATACAAGCCATAGTCTTGGCTATCACTTTTTATGCATCAGAAAGTTGGACAATGACTAGGGAAGATAGAAGGAAAATTGATGCCTTTGAGCTGTGGTGCTGAAGAAAACAAACAGATGCATCCTGGAGAGGGTTAAACCGGGTGGCTCCTTGGAGGCAAGGATTCTGAGGCTTTGTCTAACATACTTTGGCCATGTTGTAATGAGGGACCAGTTCTTGGAGAGGGACATCATGCTTGGTAGGTTGGATGGACAGCAGAGGAGAGGAAGACCCTCTATGAGGTGGATTGATTCAGTGACTAGGGTAATCGGGATGTGAATGTCATAGACAGTGCAATTGGCACAGGACAGAGCAGGGTTTAGGGCTGTTGTACATAGGGTTGCTGTGAGTTGCAAATGACTTGACAGCACATAACAACAACAACATTTCTGAAATAAGAATAATAGTAAATAGTGTTATGCTAGCATGTATAGAAATCCAGCACATGAATTATCTTCATTAAATTCAGAAGGACCTTGTTAAGAGTTATGACCTTTTCACGTAAAGGGAACATATGGCTCCAGTAGTAAAAATAAATTCCCCAAGTTTGTACAGCCAGTAAGAAAAAAGCAGGTATTATATTATAGAGTCTTTGTACCTAACCCTCATCAGCCTTTCTTCCTCAACACTGGTACAGGTGCAAAAACCTGTAGCTGCCCCACTTCTGATAAATTATACCTGTAACTCTCTGGGCAAGTAATAGAACCTACCAGGATTTAATTTCTTCTTCTGTTAAGTAAAGATATTGAGATCATGGTCTACAAGGCAATGGTGAGTGCTTAAATTCTATTATCCTAAAACAGACTAATAGCTTAACATTTTTAAAAGAAAACTTTAAAGTAGCTAAAAACGAGTTTTCATAGTTTTGTATATCAAAAAGTTATATATCTTGTAAATAAAATTTTCCATACTCTATAACTTCAAATAAGTTAAGATAGATCTAAACTAGTAATATTTATCATCAATTCTTGGTTTAGAGCAAGTAATTTAATTGCTATAGTACATTATTTATCTCACTCAAGAATTGCTTTTATTAATATGTATGTCAATGTTTCAATTAGTTTCTAACAGTATAAAATAGCAGCACATGATCTCAAAATTACTTGTATCATCAAAATTATATACTTGAGAGACAATGTTACTTGACTTCTCAGTCTTTTTTATTGTTCTTATTACTGTAAACATCTGATCTGTGATAGTTAAGAAAATCCATAATACTAGATTGTTTATAGAGAGGACAAGGACAGAGACAGTGAGATTTGACATTTGATGTTCAAATGTCCACTTATACGTGAGAAGGGTAGGATATAGTGAAAGTAAATGCATGATCTTAAAACAAGGGATAGAATGTACCTCTTACTAAGAAATGAATTTTGATGAAAAGAAGCAGTGGAAAATGATGTATACCTTGGCTCTTTTGCAGTTTGACTGAGTTAATAATTAAAATGTCCTCAATGTTGCACAGTATTATGCCCAGAATGTCTATTTGTCTAGAACGTTGCTATTATTTTCTCTCTCAAGGGTCAAAGGTGACTAGCCCCTACTTCTGTGTGGAGATTAATGATTGATTAGTTCATGGTTGGGAGTCCTAGTAAAAGGGAACTAGTTACTCTTGACTGACATCTTATATGTGGTTACCTACCAGGGACAAGAGGTGCCACAGGACTCCCGGGCAGGAAAATGAAGCGTGTGTTCATTCTCCTGCTGGCTATAGCATTTGTTCACACTCTAGAGAGAGGTAAGACTGCTACTGTCATGCCCATTTACATGAGATCTTCTCAGCCTAGTGCTCTGTGACTATAAGTTTGCTTTGTTTTATTTTATACAATAAATTTTAACTTAAGGAAAAATTGGTGAGTATATTGGAGACAAAGGGGATGACCAAGGAAGGCTTGTTCAGATGGAAGAATACTAAATAAGTAAATAAAAATCAAGATAGAAATTTTGTGAAAGAGAGCAAAAGGAAGCAAAAAATTTGTCAATTGCCTCTCTCTTCCCTTTCAAAAAATAAAGATCTGCAGAGAATGGCTTGAAATGACTAAATTTTTTTTTCTATTTTAAAGATAACACAAATGGAGACTGAGAATTTTTCAGACTTCAAATGCATATTTCTATTAGGAGTATAATGTACTACGCCAAAGTATGTGAAGTGAAGCAAAGCAAATAATGTCACATATATAGGAGTTGTTTATGGATATGGGATACGGACATATTTTTCATTAAAAATTTCATTTCCAAATTTTGCCAATTGAGGTCTCTTCATATTAGTTTTAATTTAATTTTGAGGTTTGTCTTTTTATATCTATAATGGATTCTGCATTCATCATAGGATATAAAATACTTTTGTGTCATTCAGTACTGTCATTAACAACTTGGTCCAAGTCATACTTAAAAATTCACAAGAGTCCACAATTAAGGTTGCACAGTGGAATGTACTTGGGGC